AAAAAAAAAAGCACAATGGAAGTTACAGGGGAAACTGAGGGAAGAGGAGACAGTGGGGAGCAATGAACCTTGCATCTTATATAGTCAAGTCTAAATCAGTCGAGGTATGTTATTGCTACACCTCAATAACTAATTTGTTTTATTTATTTATTTAATTTAGGTTTTTTTTTTTTTTTTTTTAGGGAGGGAGATAATTAGGTTTATTTACTTATTTCTAGAGGAGGTACTGGGGATTAAACCCAGGACCTTGTGCATGCTAGGGATGTGCTCTACCACTTGAGCTATAGCCTCCCCTTAATTTGCTTTAAAAAACAGTTAAGTCTAAATCAATAGTGGTAGAGTGACAGGGCGTAAGTGCGAAATAGAGATTCCACACCCCCACCTCACACCACACACACACAAATTCAGGTGGATTAAAGACTTAAATGTAAAATGTAAAATAAATACTATAGGAGAAAATGTATGAGACTATATAGCTCATCAAGGATCAGGGAGATCTACTTAACCAGAACAGAAAATGAGAAGCCATAAAACAAGAGGAACGTAAAACTGATTACACAAAACAAATTTCAAAGTGTAAAAAGATCTTAAAATGTCAAAGTGCAGTGATAAGTGGAAGGAAACTTTCAATTTTAAAAACTCCTAAAATTGTGAAGAAAAAGACAAATAATGCAATAGCAATAGACAAACTCATGAAGATTGTGAAGAGGCAATTCTGGGAAAAGCAAATCCAGAAACTAATTAAGAGACACTCCTCTGCAGAAAATCACAAATTAAAAACCAAGGTGTTCACTTACCTGCTGTTAGAGTCGCAAAAACTAAACAGCGATCACACCTGCTGCTGGAAGGGATGTGGGAAACCCATCCTCTCATACATTGCTATTGGAGAAGTGAATTCTAACAGCAATTTGGAAATAGCTATTAAAATTTAAAATTCCCTAGTAATCCGATTCCTGGGAAGCTCTACCATAGAAACGAACGCATCAGTGCATAGGTGTAGAACCATGTTTATCATAGCCTTGTGGTAGTTGCAAAAACTGAAAACCAAATGAATGCCCATTCAAGAAAGGAGTGGCATATTACGCAGCCATTAGAAAAGAATGGGTTAGACGTGTCCCATCTGTCTTGGGGGAACTTCTATTATGTATTTATCCTTAAGGTAGAAAATCAAGATGCAAAGTGTATGTGAAATGATTTAGCTTTTAAAAATGTGACACCCCTCACCCCACCCCACCCAAAAAAACCTGCATCTGTATGTGTGTGTGGGAACTGTTACAGAGCTGGAAGGAAGGAAGGTAGGAAGCAAGGAAGCCAGGCTGTTAACCTGGAGGGAAATGGGAGAGAAATACTTAAAAGCAAGTTTCTATATTTAAAAGCCATGCGTGTAGTGTAAGGCCATCCTTACACATGGAGATGGGGAAAGGATCGTCACCAAAATATTAATGATGATTATATCAGGAATGGGATTACAAGTAACTTTTACTTTTTTCCTCATTTTTTCCCATTTTAAATGTTATATGAGTATATTAAGTATATATATGAGTATATATTATGACTGTTATTATTAAAATCAGTGGAAAATAAAGCAATTTGCATTGTTAGGTGCGGGGGAGGGAGGAGTATTGGCAGGTAGGCAGTCCCTGGGGGCCTAATTTAATGAGCACACAAGATAGATATTTCATTAACATATCAATTGCTGGCAGGCCAACTAAGGTTTTCCAAAATCTTGAAATGTAGTTTCTCTTAAGTAGCCAAACTGTCATCTGAAACATTGTTTACAATTCTCCCACTTAACTAATGCTGAAGAATGGAACGACTACAAATACCAAAGGGGCAGGAGATGATTAAAGGAGGTTTTATTTAAGTGCCATCAAATAACTGCATCTCCTGTACTCAACACAGTTTAGAATTCTTTCATCTAAGCTCATCTCCTGGCAACTTCCAAACCCTTTTATCATTGCTTTCAAAAATTTTCCCCCCAACCATTTCTTTTTCCATATCTCTTGTGTATGGTTCTTAAAATCTTCATTATAAATCTTAAATCTTGGTTTTGCTCTTTTTATTGGTTCCTCCTTCACGGTTGGGCGTGCACCTGGCTGTCCTGCGCACGCCTCTCCTTCTCCCCTTCCGTCTCTCAGTGGTCCTGCTAGGTTCAGGGGAGGGAAGCAGGGGTTCAGATCTTGTCTATGCGGTGCTTGAACACGCCAGGCTTTCCAAAAATGTTGGGGTCAGCTGGTGAAACAGGAAGTTGGGCTTCACCTGCTCTTTATTTCCACATTTATTGAGCATTGCTGGGTGTCCGTTGTCCGGCTAAGTATTCAAAGGTGAAGAAGGCACGATGCCAGAGGAATCACAGCTAGATATGTGATCAGTTTTGGACTGTCCAGTGCTGCGGAAGCATTAAGGGAGGAGGCCACTGATGGGGAGGGGGAGTGAAGTAGGGGAGGAGTTGCTAGGGCTGGGCGGAGGGAATAGCATGCTCAAAGGTCTAGTTCTCCAAGTGTGCCCCCAGACTAGCAACATCAACATCATCTGGGACTTGTTGCAAATTCTAATTCTCAGCCCCCCACCCCCCACTCCCCATCTATCAAAGCAGAAACTCTGAGAGTGGGGACCAGCAATCTGTTTTACCAAGTCCTCCAGGCGATTCTGAAATATCCTGGAGTCCGAGAACCAAGGCTCTAGTAGAAGATGTTTAGGATAAGAGGGAAGGAGAGGAAACAAGGCTTTGAGAAGGGCCTCAGATGCCAGTTAAAGGAGTTAGGCTTTGCCCGGCAGGTGCGGCCTGCAGGGTTTTTAAGCAGGGACTATGGCACTTACATAATTTCTCGCAACTCAACTCTTTTCTGAAAGTTCTAGCGCTTTCTGTGCGCCCGAGGGCCGAGAGAGCTGATCCGCTCCGCATGGGGCTGAGTTCCCCCACCTGACGCGACACCAGGCGGCGAGCCAGAGAGGTCGGGCCGCAGACCTCTCCGCACCCTGGATCCGCGGGCTTGCCGTCCAGGAGGAGGTGGGCATACGCAGGGGCTGGGGCACGGACTGAGGCCGGGAAGGCACCGCCCGGGAAGCTGACCCAGCGCAGGAGGCCAACGCCGGGACCCAAGGACGGGGCAGAGGCGGCGAGCGTCTCAGCAAGCCCAGGCTCAGCCAGCGGCCTGCGGGGCGCGGCGTTTCGTGCCC